AGAAAAGAGATTATTAAAATTAATTAATTTTTTTATATAAAAATTATAAAATCCAATTTTAATAATCAAAATAAATAACTCCAAAAAACATAAAATAAAATAATTTTAAACATTTTTTTTTTTTTTTTGCTTGTTTTGGTTTTTAAGAAAATATCCAGAATAAAAAATAATAATATATAGAAATATACTGTATGTCGATTAATTTAGGTGCAATTATTAGCAAGTCTAAAATCTCAACTTACGTTCGCATGCAAAAGGTTTATCGGGATCTCCAGGAGTGGGTTCAAAGTTGTGGCCCGCTAGTGCCCCCTTTTTACCCCGACCCTGGTGATCTTCGCCCTGAAGCCCTCTTATCGGCCCGGGGGTAACTCGGCGAATGCAGTAAACCGGAACGAACCTAAGCAACAATCATTAAAAAATTATTTGTACTACTCTAAAAAAACCATATTATCTTATTATTATTCGATTTTAAATTTTACCGTATAATATATTTTTTTAGCAAACTGTATAAAATATAACATAATTTTAAAGTCTGGCCCGAGTAGAGATTTAAAAAACTAGTGTTGACTTATTTATATTCACGGGATGTTTAATCGGATTCTGAAGTTCTTTTTTACGCTATCTTTAAAACATCCTATCTGCTGTGCAATAATTTTTCTTACCCTGCCAGCACCCTTTCTACCCTTCCTTCTTTTACTGTAAGTTTCCTCGTAATCCAAATCAGAATCTGGATCCGGTTCATCATAGGTATCCATTTCCAACATGTCTTGTTCATCATAAAACCATTCCTAATACAATACAGACCAATAAAAAATTTTCCTTCCCCCGCCCTATAAACACAAAAAAAATATTTTTTTTTTTTTTTTTTATATATGACTATAGTCAGACAATAACTGACTATCTTTACTATCAGTATCCTGCAATGCCGGATTCTCTATCTGGCTAATACTGTGAATATCACTTTCACCATCGAGATATTCGGCATGCCTGGCATAAGCCCTGGCGTTCATTGTCAAGTACTGTCTCCTTTTCTTCCTCCAGCGTTGTCTGGGGTAGGAATAAATCTGACCAGGGAGGATCCCAGGCAGTCTTTGTCTTTTGTGCATGAACAGGGAGCAGTGGTTTTGAGCTACGCCCGTTTTGGGTGTATATAAAAGGCAGTCCTGAGTCCCCTTCTTTCGATGCATAGTCTCGTGTTGAAGTTGACCGAGGACTCTAGGATTTCTTTATATGCCGAGTCGTTGAAGAAACTGTAAAAAATCGATGGCTAAAGGTGATTGAACTGTAAGCGTCTTTTGATCGAAGCGAAACAATGCAATTTAGGTATGTAAAAAACTTCAAATTTATTTTGAATTTTTTTTTTTTTTTTTTTTTTTTACATAAATTTTAAGTATTTAATTTCTTAGCTTACCTCTCGATTTTTTCTAAATTTGTTTGAGAATTGGTCGGAGGAACAACGGGCAAAGTTGTAGTTGCCATTTTTCCTCGCTTTTAATTTGGCATTGACAGGATTGACATCACAGATTGACATGTCAATTTTGACAAGTTCGACCTTCGCACAGTTTTTTTATAAAAGCTCTAAAAACTACTCTTATTTTTTCTACTTTATCGCAATTATCAGGTGAAAATTATAAAACTGTGTTAAAATACTTCAGTATTTCTACAAGATTTGTGCGATAACTTGTTATAAATTAATTATTTTAAAAATAAATGCTATGCCCTCTGCTGAGCGCATTTTAAAACATATTTCAACGCCCCCTAATTAAGAACATCAAAACTATTTCTTAAAGAAGAAATCTTTTTAAAACTAATAATAAAAAACATTAAAAAACAATGTTTATTTCCAATTTATCTTATTATTAACGCGACAGTATCAAAATTACATTAAAATATTTTTGTAGTGCTTAACAATTCTTAAATAAAATTAAATTAATCTCTAATGCATCGTTCTCCCTCTATTGAGCGGGTTTTAAAACATCATTCAGCGCCACCAAGCACAAGACCTCCGTACTATGCTTTAAATACAGAAATCTATAATATTTAAAAAAATAAACATTAAAAATGTGTTATTTAAACAAATATTGAGCAAAGGAGAGCAAATCGAAACAAACGGTATTATTATTACATTTGAATAAATTAATGAAGCTACAGAGTGTCTTAGAAATCGAATTATATTTAGTTTTAGATAGTGGATAAACAGGAACCATTTTAGATTCTTTTCGATCGATCCAGCGAACTCTAACCTGGGGCGTGAGAGTTCACTTTATTAAATGTTCGATTTTCAGGCCACTTTATTATTATTATTATATTTTCAGCTGCTTTCAGCCAAAAGAAAATGACGTTTCAGTAGTTTCTGCCAAATATTTCAGCGTTTCAGTTCTTTCAGTAAGTATAATTACTTATTTTTTAAATAGATTATTAACAATTTATAGTGTATTCATAATTATAGAGCTGTAATATTTAAATCATTTCTTCAGTAGTTTTTTAAACGTCGTCGGCGCAAAATAGATATATTTACAATGCAAATCTAATTCTGAATATATTAAGAAAAATATTCGTCTGTTTGTTGATTAAATTGTTAGTCATTTATGCAGAATATTTATTTGTTTACTAACTGAAAATGTAACAAAAGATGCGTGTTCGCCAGAATTTTATTAAATATACAGGAAGATACAGTTTTTTAATTAAGATATAAAATATGCGGTATATACATAGGTAGTTGCGCACTTTTTAAAAATGCTTTCATTGAACTCTTTTCTTTGGAGAAAAATGTATATTTACTGTAAGAAAAACTATATCTGATTGAATAAAGTTTTGCGCACAATTTGTTTGTTTGTTATTGTAGAATTCTTATAGAATTTAAAATCAATGCCAACCACAAAAGTGAGATTGAAGGGTATACCTATAAACTTATTTGTGTCAATACCACACACTATATTTTTAATTTTAAAAACACTTTAACGTTAAAGCATGCTTTAAATTTGTTTCAGACTAAATTTCTGTGACAATATTGCAATGCTTGTGATTTTTCTTCATCATAATGGGTAAGTGAACATCCGTCTTTAATTTATTTTTAATTATATTCTATTGTTTAAATAAAAAGAGATTTAGATAATTTTTGTTATCAAGTGGTTGAAATAGGTATTGTCTCGTTCTGTTTTAAAGTTTATTGTTTTATAATGCAGTATTTTGCTGTTTTTCAATATAAGTTCTTTTTAGTTATAAGATCCATTATAGTTGATTATAATGTGTTTTTGGTATAAATGTAAGGAATAATTTTTTATTAATAATCTCAACAGTATATACAGGGTTCCTGGGTTATTATCTTATCACAAATCTCATTTAAAATAATATACAATTTTATCTTTTCTATAATTTCAAAATTACTTAATTTTCTTTCCCAATCTTTCTCAAAAATTTCAAATATTAAGTTTGATATGCAACTAGTAATACATGCGATATTTGAACTAAGATTGTTTCATAAAAATGAGGCACCAATATTTATTTTCTTGTAAGTTTAACAAAATATTTAGACCCAAAAACATTTTATTGGATTTAAATTTTTTGTTAATTAACTTATAGGCTTTGGATTCGTCTTGTTTTGCGTAAAATAACAACATTAAAAGCAATTTAAATCTAAAAAAATACTTTATTTTTCAAAATACATTATGGTTTACCGTTTTTAAACAAAATACTTTGTGAATTTCTAGCTATAACTACAGCAGAGTTATCGCTTCTTTTTCTTTTTTTAAATTTAATAATAATTTTACTATTTTTTAAGGTAATTTTGAAAGTAATTAAAAAATCTTGTGAGACTTTTCCTGGACCACCACTGGTTTAATAACAATTGAAACCCAAATTTATCAATTAACGATAAGCAAATCAGCTATTTAAGCATATCCTGTTTTTGTTTGAACAATAGCTTTTTTTTCTCATTAAGTATCAGTTAATTTTCGACGGTACTGCATTTAAGGTACTTACAGTTAAAATGGAGGTTTTTAGAGGTTTTTTTCTCATGTTTCTAGCGCTAGGTTTCCAAGTAGCCGCTGGTAAACAAAGAGTTGGTACCGAAACACCTATTATAGGAGTACTATCTCAGGAAACCTATATAATATCCTCTTATTTTCCTAATGAGACGTACGATAGTTATATTGCCGCTTCCTATGTCAAGCATTTGGAGAGTGGAGGAGCCAGAGTAGTACCAGTATGGTAAGCAGTACTTTAATTCATTATTTTTTATATTTTTTCCTGTCAATCCAAGGTATTTATTGTCAAATAACAAATTTTGAAAGACCTCACGTGATATTAGAGGAGGGGGGAGTTGGTCGAGACATATCTCACGACATTTTACCAGTGGAGGAAGGGGGGGTATCAAAAAATCCTCAAAGAGGCCCCCTTATGATTTGGTGTTTTTTTTTTGTTTGTAATAATACATTTTATATTTTTTTTGGCTCAACTTTCGTTTAGCTGAAATCTTTTATATAAAAAATGACTTTATATATACGTTCTAGAAGGCGTTAGGAGTACAAATATACAAAAATTTTCCTGCGGAAAAGCGTCATTTTCATTTTTCGGACTTTAGTATATAGCCGAAATCTGTTACATCAAAACTAGTCTGCGGGGTGTGTTTCAGACATTTTTTTAAACATGAAAACACAAAAAAGTGTGAAATTTTTTATTTTTATTTTACATAAAAAAAATGCTTTGACTTTAGAATAGCCGAAATCAGTTACATGAAAAATGAACTTATATTTGTTTTATACGAGCCTTTACGAGCAAAGAAATACCAAAAAATTCCTGCGGAAATGTGTCAATGTCATTTTGTGCACTTTGTTTTTCATACATTTTTCAGTTTAGAACGTTAGTATATTCTGTGGTTTAGAAGCTTACGGGACCCGGGAGCGAATAGGGGTGATGGGTGGGGTAAAACATCTTTCGGAGGAATAACAATTATTGTAGAATAGATAATATAGGTTCTTGTAAACTATAAGTACCTCGGAACGTTGCACTTATTCTTGTTTTTTATTAAAGCTTTACATAAATAGGGCTGATTCAAAACAAAAAATCATTGGATCATGCAGTTTTCTTTGATATTTTAATAATTAACTGTGATTTTGCAAAAATATTAATTGGTTAGGATTTGGGTTGCCTTGGTTAGCTTTTCTTTGTGGAGGCTGTTAAGCAGTGGTTTTTATATTTTAATAATGTTGCGGACCGGTGTGGACTCGACCTAACCCCTAAAATGCCTAACAATATGGCCCGCCCTCGGATGACCTTAACATTGCATAGACACCGCAGTGATTCATTCAAAGATTCGAGAAGGATCGAGTCCCACTGGAATGGAGTAGTACATACGAGAACATTCAAAAACCTTCTCTATGCACCTAACGATCTATGGACTATTCTAGTAAACTTTAACCACAGAATATCTAGCTATGCAAAGCTAGATATTCTGTGCTTTAACTGTAGGTATAAAAGCTGGCGGCTGTGGCCTAGAGAGGGCAGTTATAAATATACCAGTGCAGTTGACGCGCTAAAATTCAAAATAAATTCTTAGTTATAAATCGTTTGTAAATAGTTCTATAAATCTTTTATCGTTATTGTTTTTGTTAATTAGTGTTAAATAAATAGTGTTTAAATAAATTGTGACTTTCTATCCACACGGAACCGACGAAAAAAACGTAACAATAATTAACTGTGATTTTGTAAAAATATTATTAGATTTATTATTAGATTGATTAGCATTTTAGACACTTTTAAATGATTTTTTTTTTTTTGGTTCAAAAGTGATAAAAAGAAAATTTTTTATGTATTTATGCTTATAAAAATGGAAAATGAAAATAAAGCATTTTCGCAGGAAATTTTTTATTTTCCTGAGTTTGTAAACGCTTCTAAAAGGCAAAAATATATTTATTTTTCATATAACTGATTTCAGCTATTCTAAAGTCTAATAAATTTCCTTAGAAAATGAAAACAGCTTATTTCCGCAGGAAAATTTTTGTGTTTAATGGTCAGAAAAATATTAAAAATAAAACGCAATTTTTTTTTTATAGCAGATTTCAGTTGTTCTAAAGTGCGAAATTTGGAAATGACGCATTTCCGCAGGAAAATTTGTGCTTTCCGTGGTTCACAGTAGCTTTTTAAAGACAAAATTTTTTTTTCTAATAAGTGATAATTCAGCTAAACGAAAGTTGACTCTTTTTTTATATAAAAATACATTCCAGAGTCATTTTTGGTCATTCAAAAAAGTTTTTTTTTCAAATGTCACAAAAGTGTTAATTTTTGCGACGTGATTGACAATATAAAAAAGTCATTTTAACGCCTAGGCATAAAAGTAAAGCACTTTTACGCCTAAGCACAAAAGTACGAAGATATATTATTAAATTGACATAAAGTGTCAAATTTAACGAGTGTAACCATAGTTTATCGAAATATAATTACATACAAGGTATTACCAGTTTTAAATCTTTTTATATTCTTTGGAACGTTCGAAATTGTTTAAAAAATTATTTGTGGCGTTTGAAAAAAAATAACATGTTCTATTCGGAGTAAAAATGACTTTGTGCTTCGCCTATAGATATTCGCAAAAAACAGTCATTTTTACTCCTAAAAAAACAATATATTATTTTGATTTGAAATTTTATTAATGTAAATGAATGAATTAAAAAAAGTTATTTATTAGGATTGGTCAGAATGAAGACTATTACAGACGAGTAGTGAACTACACAAATGGGTATGTAAAAGTATTTTTTCCCTGATTTTAATAATGTTGTACTGCTAGATGATGAAAACCTATACAGGGTGCTTCATAAATAAATCCATGTATGGACTAAAAACTAAAAACATATTTTTTCTTTACCCTATGAATTTTCGTCTTTGTTGTTTTTAATACAGCTGGATTTGAGGTAGTGTTCTTTATGACGATTGAATCACCCTGTAGATTACTCTACATAGAATGCACCGTAGAATAAAACTGCGTTTGTGTATTTTTAGACTGCTTTTTCCTGGTGGTGGAACTTATTTCAATGAAACTGGTGGTTATGGTGAAGCAGCCACCCATCTCTACAACATAGCCTTAGAATACAACGATAATGGGGTAAAAAAATAGAAAATATAGCTTGCTAACTTTTACAGATTAAAGACAAATAATTTAAAACTGAAATAGTACATTTTATTTATTTTTTTTTCAGATATATTATCCAATATGGGGTTCATGTCTGGGGCTACAAGCCCTCATGTACGCCGCCCTGAACGGTACAAAAGACATAAGGGTTGATTGCTCACTGAAAAATATAGCAGTACCTTTAGAATTCTCTGATGGTAACTTGTAGCCTTCAATACTAACGATACAGGAACAATCTCGTTAAAATCGACTTTTTTCCAGGCTACCAAAGCAGCAAATTGTTCTCCCTGGTACCTAAGGACGTTATTCAGACGCTGAAATCGAAAAACTGCACGTATAATCAGCACAGGTACTGTCTAACTAAGGCGGTACTCAAAGAGAACGACTTGCTCAACGATTGGAACATCTTGGCTACGAATAAAGATGACAATGGATTAGAGTTCATCAGCGCGATGGAACATCGCAAATATCCTGTTTATGGTATGGTAATCACATATTATATGATATCATATATAATTTATATATGAATCATATATAATTTATATATGAATCGTATATAAAATATATCCTATATAATGTATGCATGAATCAATAAAAAAATTTGTATACGGTATCATATACAGGGTGCTACAAATTCGAGGTACTAGCATTGGTATCTCGGTAACCGTAATAGATACGAACATAGTTCAATTGGGGCAAAGCTGCGCTTTGGGATGTTCACCAAGACGCCATCAAAAAAGTTTTAAACATTTCAAGGATTGCTGAGTTTTTTGGAAAAAAACGGATTTTTTTGAAAATTAATTTTATTTTTACCTATTGTTAGTTTTTATAAAATCAAAAAACTAATTGCATATTCTCACAGCCACTTTATTAGGGCTATTTGACAGTATTTTTAGATTTCCAAATTAGCTGATAATTTGTGAGATACAGGGGCCGACTTAATTTTTTTAAATACGGACCTGCATTTTTTATTTCAGGTTTTTAAAGAACTCGGTCTCCTGTGTACAATGGTATGCCACACTTATTTTTTTTTGTTTTGGACATTTGAACACAATTTATTTAAACTAATTTCAAGTTCGGCTCTGTTTTTTTTTATATTTAATCTATTTATCGTTACAATATTTATTAGCTTTCAAACCTAACTATAATATAAAATAAATAATATAAAAATAATATAATATAAACAATCAAATTATTTCCCCGGAAGAGAAATGGTAGAAGGTAGAGGCAGTATAATGGCCAGTGAGGCTCCTGGACCTCTCGCCAAGGGTTGGAGGGGGGCATTAGTTGACGTTATTTGTTAAACTAAAATCAATTCACATCTCAACAATTACAATCAAAGTACAAAATGCATTCGGAAGTATAAGAAGAAGATCTGTTCAAAGAGCTATAAATAAAATTGAACGAAAAATTAATTTGCGCAATAGGGAGGGTGGCAACCATTTCGAACATTTAGAGCATTAGCACAGATTAGGTATCCTATAAGTATAAAATAAAAATCTTGTCCCTAATTCGTGGTACGAAAATTGTTTTTTATGACGATGTGCAAACGAGTTAAATTTCCTGTGCGCAAAAATAAACTCGCGTAAAATAACAATAAACAGCGTAATAGAGAGATATCGCTAAACCGAATAGCGTGCATGGACGTTAATAAGGCCAGGTGGTATTTCCTTTACGTGAGGTGGTATTAACTCTCTTCATTTATAGTTATCGGATCGGAAAGAATTCTGTTCGCGTCGCGTCCGCTATTTAAACTTAACCTAACTTTGAATTTAAAACTTTGAAATTGTTTTGTTTACTAGGTATTTTAAAACTAAAGGGCTAAAGTGCTTATTTCCAGTGCTATATTGTTCAACGTCTGCCAGTGCGTTTAGGGCAACAAGCAACAAATTCTCTTAGAGGGGCTAAGTCGTCATCTGCTGTAAACCTAAGACTCTCTATAGGTTCTTTAGTATCGGAAGAGGTGGAATCCATATTTTGGGTCATATTTATTTAATTAAAACTAATCCCAGCTACTTAAATATCAAATTACCTAATAAAACTAAAGCAATAATTCAAAACAATTCAAACATAACTTAAAATAAAAGATCTCGCCGGCCGGCTCCGGTTGTCAAATATCCGCACATGCCCATTTAAGCAATTTTTAAACGTTATCAGAGGTTATTTAGAAAGAGCGCTTGGTGTAATTGATCCGCAAATTACGTCAGGCGGTAACGTTATTAGCGGGTGTTGCGTTAAAAATTGACTCGCGCATATCGTAACCATGATAAGGTACACGTAAATACTGGATGACGCTATTCGGTTTTGCGATATCTCTCTAATAACTGTGCCGGTCAGGCGCTGTGCACAATTTTAGAGGCCATAAGTGGGCGTGCTATTTGCGCAAACTAGTAACCTAACTATAGTGCCCGATTCCGAAAATTGGAACCACGAAAAACAATAAAGAAAAAACAAAGATTATAATCTGTATAATCTGTGGCATTAGAAACTAGTCTGTAGAGGTTGATTTATTTATAATTACGATTAATATGTTGCATATTATATTTGAAATTTATGAATTGATATTTATTAAAAATAATATCTTTAAATTGCTGACCTGGATATTATTTTTTGAATCTTTTAATTGGGTCGATTTTCCTAATTCAATGTTAATTAGCGCTGATCAATATTGTTGCGATAAATGTCTAATCAGATTACATAATTTAAAAAAACAGAGCCGGACTTGAAATTAGTATAAATAATAATAATTAAATAGTTTTGTTGTTGTTAAGGTACCCAAAACAAAAAAAAAAGTATAAAGTGTGGCATATCGTTGTACTCGGGAGACCGAGTTCTTTAAAAACCTGAAATAAAAAATGCAGGTCCGTATTTAAAAAAATTAAGTTGGCCTCTGTATCTCACAAATTATCAGTTAATTTGAAAATCTAAAAATACCAACAGATAGTCCTAATAAAGTGGCTATGAGAATGTGCAATTAGTTTTTTGATTTTCTAAAAAGTAACAACAAGAAAAAATAAAATTGATTTTCAAAAAAAATCCGTTTTTTTTCTAAAAAACTCAGCAATCTTTGAAAATTTTAAAACTTTTTTGATGGCCTCTTGGTGAACATCCCAAGGCGCAACTTTGTCCCAATATAACCATCTTTGTATCTATTACTTTGTATGCTCGTACTTCGAATTTGTAACACCCTGTATAATACGATATACTCTTTGTAGGCGTCCAGTTTCATCCGGAGAAGAA